TTTAAGGGCTAATGATAAATATCACAAAGCCTATCATTTGAAATAGTAATAATTATTTGAAAATCCCGATTTCATGCGTTCATGTGACTTCGTTACCGCCTCTATTCAAATAAATTTCATAGCACTCTATTTAGTAGATTTTAGTCTCCTTGTTGGCCGATTGAACTTTAACATTCATTTTTCCTTCGAGATTTCAAAACTAACACCAAAACGCATCAAAAGTAACAAGTTTGCACACGTTTCACAAGCGGTATCCATTTTTGGTGCTGATGGACTCTAATTTAGTTGAGCATGGTGATATGAAAGACCAGGTGTCGTACTTCACAAATCTATAGAAATGAGAAATTGATCTTACAACTATTTATTAAAATAAAATTAAGTGAATGAGAAATTAGACATATTCAATGTAACAGGATATTTCTCTCCACTGTGCAGCCTGAAGTCAACTAAAGGACTAATGATAACCATCATTTATTTACATCAAATGGCAGGCATTTTGATAGTTTCATTAGCCCTTTAGGTGAATTCAGGCCTCACAGAGGAGAAGAAATATCAAAGTGAAAAAAATTCGAGAGGGGGGGGACAGAAGGGCGTTTCGAAGATATAAGAGAGACAGACACAAAGGTAGAAAAAAAAGTGAGGTGATTACTGCGGAAGTATTCGAATATGACATACAGTGGAGTCATGGTAGTTTGAAGTGAGAAGTCAACTGCCAGTTAATAGAATTTTTTGCCGTATGAGTATACGTTGCCCAGGATGCACCACGTGGAGGTAAGTCTATCGCACACCCCATGGTAATTATCATAAAGCCTGCCATTTATTATAAAGATTGCATGTGAATACTACTAAATATAGGGCTGTCAAAGGCAGTTGAAATTGTTAAAGGGAGTAGAGATCACCAGGGGCTTGGCTGTTTGAGCAAATGTGTGACTCAGCAGCAGTAGAAGATGGAGTTTGACAAGAAACGTCAATCAGCTGCCGACGATTGATAGCGTTTCTACTTAACGTTAAGGTGACCACAAACTTGACTTGAATAACCCACTGGCGATCAACCAAATCAAGATTATGGAAACTTAATTTAAAGTTAATTTTTATTAAGTCACTCAGGTTACACACTTCAAAAAACATCTAATTATTTATTTTATTACTTTATCTGTATGGAAGTTTTAATTCGGGTGGGTGAAGCATGCTTGAATGAGTCAATAAAACCACCAAATTAATGATTGTCATTATAAAAAAGCAACTTTAGATATTTCCGCTGGGATAAATTTAACTTTATAACTATTGTGTACCAAGTGTAGTTTGTTTTAAATTTGAGTTCTTGTAAAAATTTTAAATGTGCCTTAGTAATAAACGGAGAACTTACCTATAAAATCGAGGATTTTTTTACACTTGAGACTATTATATTATTAATGTTTTTTTCAAATGGCAGGCTTTATGGTATTTATCATTAGCCCTATAACTGCCGATTTATATACTTTTTTGCCGTATGAGTATGTGTTGCCCAGGGTGCACCACGTGGAGGTAAGTCTATCGCACACCCCATATTATTAATGTAAAACTAGTTCTTAATAGTGGAGAAAATTTGTCGAATAATCGATTAATCAATAAATGAAAATGGATACTTTCCACTTTACCTCGTTGAGCCAGATTAAACCAATTTTTGGACAATCATCGAATTAGCGAAAGTTAATTGTCATCTTAACATTGGCGCAATTAATTAAATGTTTTCTGCAGGTACTGAACTCTTAATTCAATCCCGTACTTATGCCAATTTTGGACCAAAATGTGTGTACTTTTAGGAAAGTTGATGCGCCATAAAAGCAGAAAATCAAATTAGTAGTTGTATGAGGCAGAATAAGCAGCACATTTTGTCAATCGGAAAAAATCATTTAAATTAGAAAAGAAAACTCCAATTGTTATTCAGAGACTAAAAGGGAAGATGCTCAAAGCAAAAAAATAAACTTCCCAACGTTTTAGTGAACTTCAAATTTGGAAAACATTATGTCTCAATCCTGTTTACCAGACCAAAATGTCGCAAAATTGCAGACACAAAAGCCAATCCATTACTACAAAGATAGGCTTTCTCTCACTCATTGGGTTTGAGCCACCTTCAGTCTAGCCATTGCTAGTGGGCAATTAGATTATATCTGCAGAAAGCAGACTTAAAAACCTGTGGAGTGTTCGACCCTACCAGGACTGTTCAGAGGGATGTCGAGTGCGCTTGTTGCTTGTTGGGCAATCGAGGGTGTTCTTGCAGTGTCTACCAAGGCAGTCATCAATCAATATTCGTGAGATCTGGTGCTAATTTACTCCAATTGTGAGTAATTTTGCAGCAACATCTCTCAACACGACCTTGGTTGTAGTGTAGCCCCATTTTGGGTCAAGTAGTGTCAAAGGACATTGCTTGAGGCAAGTTGACCTTGCATGTAGGCAGTTGAACAACCGAGAGAATTAGTACGAAGAATTAAGAAAGTATTAAGCCGACACAGACAGGTAACACCTCCTTCATATCGTCCACTAATTGAATAATGACTCAAATTGTAGACACTTCTGTGGCACTTCTGCCACTTCTGGTCATTGGCCATGGAAAAGGGGGCATTTGCGAAAATGGGGCGTTGTCAAAACGACTACTTGGTGTTGTAACGATAGTAGTGGAAATAATAATGTGCGCAAACATGAATCATTGTGTTTGCTACAGCCTCTGAAGCAACTACTAGCAACAGATATAAATACTCCTTTGTATATAATGGTAATAAAATTAACAAAGTAAATTACGCCTCAGTTTTGTAGTGTCCACCACCAATTACTCTTAGAACTTCGTGAGAAGGGGCTAACAATATGATGAAAAGGGGTGGGTGGAGGTGGGGAGTCGTTGAGAGTATTACATTTTTGACTGATACTGCACAAAGGAGCAAGTGCCTAAAATAATTCGATCTTTCAAGAGGTGAAATTAACTGCAAACCTGTGGAGGTGGCACCTAACAGCGTGGAATAGGCAACTTCAGAGGTAGTAGGAGCTGTGGAATAATTGGTTGTAGACTTTCAACTATAAAATGCGTTTTAATTAAGCACAATTAGCTCTATGTTTCATGAATATCAATCGGTGATTGGCTGGAGGACTTGTGCTTGCACGCTCGCACGTGCGCGTTGCGTGATCGGCACTACACGCGGACTTTTCAAATTTATGTGGTAGCTTTGCGCACTTCACACGGTATCACCATCCGCTTTAAGATAAAGTAGGATGTACGGGTTTTAAGTGCTAACTTTCTCTCACTTAATGAGCACTAAGAATAAACTCGTCATAAATGCCACATTGTTGTATCATAATTAAGATAATGCAATTAATATTCCAAATAGAGTATTGTTTTAACGAATGCTATTGAAATCTTTTTGTGTTTAAATTGCCTTTGTAGTTTATTGATTAGTGTTTTTAAATCTCTCAAAAATTAATGATATCGAAATGTAATAAACTACCAATAAACACAAATCTAAATAATCAATTTTAATTTTACCTTCGAAGTTAAATGAGAAGAGAATTGTTAAAGAAGTTATAATATTCATTCAAAACGAAAATTAGGTTTTTGTTTTCCGATCAAGTTTCATTAAAAAATACTGAAATTATGCGGTGATAAATAAATTTGCTAAATATTTTATAACAAATGGCAGGCGTGTTGATAGTTATCGTTGGCCCTTTAGTTGACTTCAGGCTTCACAGATGGGAAGGAACATCAAAGGGAAAAAAGTCGAGATGGGGGGGGGGACAAAAGAGCGTTTCAAAGATGTAAAAGAAACAAACACAAAGGCAGAGAAAGGGTAAGATGAGTGCTGTAGTTATATAAACAACTGGTTTGTGTTCGGTAACAGCTGGCGATAGGGTACTAGGCCTGTGCCTAACACACAATAAGCAAGTAATGCATTAAACATAATAATAAATTTTTAAATATATTAAATACGAAGGTGCCTATCTAATATATAGGTGCCCGTTGGCTAGAAGCCAGGATCATTGGAATTCTAGCTTGCACTTTTAAATGGTGAAAATACATGGAATGGTTTCTATCTTTTCTTAGCATTAATTACGAAACGAGAACTGTATTAAAAGCCTTTCACTTTTTGAAAAGTAATTACGCTCCTAACGCCACCCACCCACTGCATAATCGCTTGGCCAAGGGAGACAGTAGGCCTACTGTTTTCGCAGCTTTCAATTGGCCAATACCAGCATATCAGGGGTGTCACACAGCACTTACGCGTGAATAGCTCACTCAACCGACGCATGCATAATTCCGGCTATACTTTATTCACCTCACCTCGGGAATGCTCTTCAATCTCCACAAGACCTCCTTAACAGATACTAACAGAGCGGCAGCATTTTGTACAAGCAGTAATCACAGGGATCACAATAGACTCTATCCTTCCTTTAGCCGTCAAGAGGAACTTGGATATACGTCCAGACGTCGAAATTTTGGACGTAGAAGTTGGTCTTCTACAGGGAAGCCTCCATTTGCAGAAAAACAATGGTTATTGAATCATTGCGATGGCAGTGAATCGGTTCTCTTAAATCGACACGCTGGTGAACATACTAGGACCATTTCTGTGGCCGGCATTTGCCGAACTCTTTCCGATAGTTTGAAGGATCACTTTCGTGTCGGAATAATCAAACCTCCTACCCCTGTTAATACACCAAATGCCAAGAAAAGCGAAACCCTATTGGCTCCAGAGGCTTTTTCTTCCTATCCACAATTCGATCGACAACAATCCTGCGAAGACAATGACTGCCAACCACCATTGAAACATCTTGCTCCACGTCGTTTCGAAGAGAACTCTGGTCAAAAACGGCGTATGCAATACCACCATGAAGGATCCCAGGGTCTTCCAGTTCACTCAACAACTGATAGTGGTTGTTGTCCTAGAAAAATCTCCCACCAAATCACGGACTCTCAGTATTATCAGTCTAGCCATGGTGATACAATAGACAATGGTGGAGTATCGGGGTCAGTTTCAAATACTGCTGACGATAACGCCTCTATTTCGGAATCTATTCTTAAACACAAACGGGTGCTCTTAAATGTTGGCGGGTCTCAACATGAAGTTTTATGGAAAACTCTGGCTAGATTGCCGAATTCCCGATTAGGTCGACTTTGTCGAGTTAAAACTCATGCTGACGTAATGGCGCTGTGTGATGATTATAACCTCGCAAAGAACGAATTCTTCTTTGACAGAAATGCTACCTCCTTTGATGCCATCTTAAATTTCTACAGAACTCGAGTACTACATATGGTTGAAGACATATGTGTCGTCGCTTTCAAGGACGATATGGAATATTGGGGCATTAATGAACTCTATCTACACCCGTGTTGCCAACAGAGGTATCACCAAAGACGAGAGATTGTGGAAGATGAGATAAGAAAGGAAGAGCTTTCACTCCGTTGGCTGCAGGATGAAGAGGATATGAACGGAAATGACACAATCTCGAAGACGAGATGGAAATTATGGCAGATTGTCGAGAAACCGCATTACTCAATGACAGCAAGGGTAAGAACAGCAAATCACACTAAACTAAACAGTACTAATCATGCAACACCATCTGAACACACATTAAGCCAGAGGGGTGAGCGAGGAGGTGGGGTTGGCGGGAGGAGGGGGGGGGGAGGTTGGCTAGGAGTGTTAATCAATTAACTAACTTTGTTTGAATTATTATACATTTTGTAAGAGGCACAATTGAAGTCGTTTGTGCCTTGTAACAGCTCACAAATCGTCATTAAGAAATTATCTGTGCGTTGTCTACTTCCTTCTGCGAAAGGCTATTGGTATAAAGTAAAACAAGTAAATGTCTTTCCTCCTGATTCATAGAAGGTCACGACCCTGCAAGTTTGCACATCTTTTAACAAATATGCATATATGTACTTTCTTATCATTAGGAACTCATATACTCTCAAACGAAGGCTCAGTGGTCCGACACTAGCCTCCCAAGTCTTGTTGGAACCCTTCAAGGAACCTCTTATCCCGTGGACTCAGCTTTAAATTGGCATAAGATCTTATCCATTAAGTCTGCCACGATCGATACCGTCAGTCGGTTATTCACTAGCCAAGGAGTACCAAAAGTTATTTTATTCGGAAATGTCACCCGACTCTCTTCTACTCAATTTGGGGACTTCGTTTATTGTCTTAATGCCTCCCATTGCATACTCCACCTAATATCGATTTTCTGGATGAGCGAACTGTTGATACCGTGAAAAGGCAAAAAACCGCAAGGAATGGAGGCAATGGAAGTGTTTTACATTTTTTGCAGTTTAGATACCGGATGACGCCTCATATTGATGCCCAAATTTGGATGTTCTATTGCAAACATCTCCGTTCTCGGTACTCAGCCTTATCTTCCGAAATAAAAACAGATCTAACAGAGATCCAGCCGTCCAGAATCTCAAGACACCCAGCACAAACATCGGCCACACTGTTATTCCGGGTGTTTAAGAAGACCTCGAAAGAAAAACATTACGTTGGATCCGACGCTCAACTAACTAACAAATTTCCATCTGGATGTGTTGGATGAAAATCACAAATTTTTATCTACGGAAAGATAAATATAAATAATTTTAAAAAAATTTTGCATATTTGTTAAAATATCCCAAATTGTAGGGTCGTTGCCTGGCATATTTTGGAGGAAAGTCTACCCCTTCATGACATTTACTTGTTTTAAATGGTTCTGAGATTTGTGGTTATTTTGAGTGACTAATCAGATTGTAACAAAGGAGGCCATTAAAATATCAAAATTCCTCCTTTTCTTAAAGTGTGGAAGGATAGAGTTAACGATATTCGCGTGTTGAAAGAAATTGCTTTTTGATAAACTGAAATTCGAAATTTATTACTTCACTTTCGGTTATCGATTGTTGTATAGTTTATTGATTAATCATGACACTTCAAAATTCTCTCTACCTACATCAAGAGCCCTGGTAATCAGAGTTAGCACTGAATGTTTTGTGTAATCGAGTGCGCTTAACAAGTATTAATCAATACATATATTTGGAATACCCCGGTGTTAGCACATGATGGAAGTGTATTTAAAATTCTATTCATTGGAAGAGCAATCTTTGGAAGGGACAAAGGTTAAGACGGGGTTTTTCCTAACATATTCAGTTTTTAATCTAAACTTGATTATTCTTTTAAAAATGTCAAATCTGACGCCATTCATTGGTTAAGCTTCATAATTTACAATCTGCTCAACACGATTTCCAACTTAGGTATTGAGGAGAGAATTAGCTAACTGAGGTAAATCAATTTATCAAACACAATGTATCCAACTTCTCCCATCTACAATCGAGGCATGTAACGAAATGGTCATAGTTCCCGCATTGCGGTCATTTATGCTCACATTTAAACAACCACCTTTTTTGATAACTGAGAATCAAATTTTTTTGGCCTCTGTAATCAAATTAAGCCACATTCGAATTTTGGTGGCACATGTATCAAGTGATTTAAATACCACACAATCAATAACAACGATTTTCAGGTTATAGAAGTTAATAAAGAAAAAAATTAACAAAAATGTTGTTTCAACACTCCAATGAGCTCTAGTGATTTCGGCTATGATAAAACCAATGAGAAAGAGGGTTCATATGAATGACGCTGGTTGATCAATAAGATCTGAACACCACCAACTTGAATAAATTCAAGAAAGAGTTTGTAAATCTTGAAAATTAAATATCGACAAAATTAAAACATTTCAACCCGAGCATTAACATTACATTTTATGGTAAAGAATATTCCGTTATTTTAATTTTGATAGAAACCTCGATCCCCCCCCCCTGCTTTAAAAAAATTTTGAAAAGAATTTTCGCGATTTAAACTTAATTTTCCTTCCACTAATTGTGGATTTGCGAATGTCAAATTAGAATATGAATTTTGCTTTTAATTGATAAATTGGAGACATATATCCGAGTCATTAACAAGACAAATGGAATTCCCAAAAGTCATCCTATCATTCTCTCTATCTCTCTCTCTCTCTCTCTTGAGGATATCAAAAGAAAAATTCAAAAAAAATTAAACTCTCATAAGCTAAAATTAGAATACTCAATTGTTTTTTTATTCGCTAAATAGTGCATTGGAGACATAGTGGAAGCTTAACCTTCGAAAACTGCTTAGAGAAACGTTGTGGGTAGCTTTTTAATCGGCCCACTGGTAAATTCAATTTAAATTCTTTAAATTTTGCTTTTCCTCTCTAATCTTATTAAAAAATATTGCATTTTAAGGCATAGATTTGATCTAATGGTTACCACTAGGGAAAAAATACCCCAATCCCTTCTTTCAGCAAACTTTCAGTCTTACCTTTTCATATCTTGAATTTAAATTCTAATAGCAAAAATTAATATTTATTTTTATCAAATGGCAGGCGTTTTGATAGCTATCATTAGCCATTTAGCTGACTTCGGGCTTCACAGACGGAAGGTTCATCAAAGAAGCAGAAAGTCGAGGGGTGGGGGAACAGAAGAGCGATTCACAGATGTAAAAGAGGCAGACAGACACAAAGGTAGAGAAAATGGTATGGTGAGTACTGTGAAAGTAGTCGAATATGACATAGAGTGGGGTGATGGTAGTTTGAAGTCAGAAGTCAACTGTCAGTTTATAGACTTTTTTGCCTAGGGTGCACCACGTGAAGGTAAGTCTATCGCACACCCCACAAATTAATATTTAAGTCAGGCAAAATACGCTTTATTAACTTCCATTTAAAACTGCGGCTTTAAAACTGTAATCAATTTTTTAAAATAAAGTGCGATTCATCTTTATCCTTTTTCATCTTTTCTTCTTCGAATTGTAGATATTCGCCATAGTTTCAATAGCATTTATAATCATTTCAACTGTGAGTTTAACTATCGGAACACTTCCACAGTTCCAACCTAACATCACAGAAATCCGCCAATCACCAGGTCTCTTCAACCAAGAAACCCTCCTTTCCTGGTGCCAGGAGTCCACTGATGCCGGAAATGTTGATGACATCGTCTGCGAAAATCCCTATCTCAAGATAGTCGAGTTTATTTGCATCGCCTGGTTCACTCTTGAATACCTGATACGCCTTTGGGCATGTCCCAAAAAGTGTAGATTCTTCAAGGACACTCTCAACACTATTGACCTCATCGCCATCTTTCCGTTTTACATTCATCTCATAATCATGGAAGTCGCTTCAAGAAACAAATTCAAGCTCCTGGGATCCGTGCGCAAAGTCGTTCAGATGTTTCGAATTTTACGAATCGTGAGAATTTTTAAACTCGCCAGACATTCAACTGGTCTACTATCTCTGGGTTACACATTTCGAAGGTCATACAAAGAATTGGGACTTTTAATGACCTTCGTTGCCATGGGAGTGATCCTCTTCTCGAGTCTAGTTTACTTTGCTGAAAAAGATGAAAATGGGAAGATGTTTAAAAGTATTCCCGCCGCATTTTGGTGGGCTGCAATCACCATGACAACAGTGGGTTACGGTGACATGTTGCCTCGGACTCCGATTGGTAAGGTCATTGGATCGGCATGTTGCATCTGTGGTGTCTTAGTCGTGGCTTTGCCAATTCCTATCATCGTCAACAACTTTGCTGAATACTATAAGGAACAAATGAGAAGAGAGAAGGCCTTAAAAAGGCGAAATGCTTTAGAGAAAGCTGAACTTGACGGCAGTTTTTTCTCGTTTGGCTCTGATGATGCACTCAAAGAAAACATGACCAAGAATGAAAATGCTTGGAGGGAAAATCGAATGACAAGACAGGAGCACGTGAATTCCTCCGAGCGTATAGTAGAAGGAACTGTGGAAACTAAGAATTCTCTGGTAGGTTAGAGCTTACTTAAATTTTAGACTTAAAATTGGCATACATAAGTCATTGATATCTTTATTAAGGCAAATACAAAAGCTTCACTTAACGTAGTTCGAATACGACAAAAGTTTTCACAGCAATTTAAAATACCTCTAATCAAAATGGCAAGGCTAAATTAGGTGCCAGATTAAAGTAGATTAAATATCTCCTCTAAAAACTATTTGATCTACTTATGACTAGATAGGTATTAAAACTTTTCCTGAAGTTGAACTTCGTGAATATTTCAAAATTTTGGAGTGAATGTAAGCGGAAAGGTGTGAGGAGATGAAAGGGGAATTAAGGGAAATATGAAGGCATCAGTTCTGAGGTTGTCAAAGGAAAGCGAAGTTACATGGCCATGATTAAGCCTTTAAGTGGTTGAAGAATAGTCAACCAATCAGAAGTCACCAGTTAACTAATAGACATTATTTTCAAATGTTTAGCTCAATTTTTTACTAAAGAGGAACTATTAATTTCATTTATGCCCAGCTTTCATTTATAGCTTTTAATTAATCCTTTTATGTATTATGAAGAGTTAAACAAGGTAAAATGATCACAATTTACACAAGAAAACATCAAATATTTAGTATTTCACGAAATAGTTAAAAATTCTCCATTTATGTAAATTGCAATATGAAGGATTTCTATCGTCTACTTAAAATATCGTAAAATATTGCAGAAAATACTCTCCAGTTCAGATAAAATAATCAAGAATGTACTCGGTTAATGTTAACGAGCTCGGAAAAATAACGACAGAGTGTGAAATAAAAGTCATTGTAGGAATGCACAGATGGTATGTCCTTGTAAGTAATGGGGGGGGGGTTGTTTTAATATTGCCATTTCATGACACGTAAATTGACATAGCTGCAGTTTGACAGGAATTTTCATTAATCACTTCTTATACATGCCAAATTAAATAACACAAACACTTGACCATTTAATTTGATGAAAGTAAAGCAATCAACGGGGGGGGATTTGTGATTGTCTAGAACTTAGTATTAAAATATAATAACTTTGAAATTTGAACTAGAAAACGATCCTCGTGAAGAAATTCAGTTCCAGTCTATAAATTGCCGACTTGGAAGTCCTAATTTTTGTGAAAACAGAGGGAAGAATACACCTGAAATAAAGTACAGAAATAAGTGTGGGTGATTTCCCTGTTTTTTCAAATTACTAATTATATCTAATTGCTCCATTATGGCCACTTTCACCCTATTATGAACTCCACCTAATTTTTAATTTATCCTATTTCCTGTCAATGATTTAAAGTCATTATTAATTCTACCGACATCGAAGAGTGCTTGCAAAGATTTAGGCATGCTTGGTTTCTTGCATTACTGTTCAAATAATCAATCGATCACTTTTCTCATTTTCCTTATTTTCTCACAAAAATAATAAACGCTTCAAGGTCTCAAATAAGACGGTTTCTTTAATTGCTAAAAAATCAATACGAATAAATTAGTTGATACCATGAAATTGTATTATAAACGATTATTGTTTACGTTGAACCACACATTCATTAGAGATCAGTTTTAGTGAAGCACCTGAAGCTACATTTTAAAGAAATTTTTCATTTTTTCAGATAAAAATAACATAGATTGATTTTTTATTATTAATCTATTTAAAATATTTTCGATATGCACTATCAAGGATTAAAACGAATTCAACTATGACTATAATAGACAACTGTTAATTAATAAAACCATACTAATTACTAATGCTATGCTAGTTATTAGCTAAAATATTAATTAAATAGGCTGGTCCTATCTGGTTAATTCTCTACACGATTGCTAGAATATATGCGTTCATATATTAATTCTGCTAACATAATTAATAGAATTAAAAGCGGTCCAGTGTCGCCACCAGTCAAAATTCTCTATTACCCCTTACTCAAGATTGTCAAACTTATTGGGAAAATGTTCTTTTTTATAACCCAAAAGGAAGTAGAGATGTTAAAAATTAAATTTTAAAAATGGTAAATTTCTTCAATTGAAATTTTGAAATTTTTTTTATAAAAAAAATTGATCGGGAATTGATTTTTTCACATTATCCATCAACTACTTCTATTAGAAGGGCCACATGCAAGTTGCTATTGTTTATGGAATGTGAATTTTTGGACGCAAATTTAATTATTCGTTCCATTTAACTAATAATTATTGTGAAAAAAGTCGGTAAGTTTAAAGTTAGGTTTTCTTATTTCCATCATCAAATTTCAAATTCGAGAAGTTTTCATAATTCTAATTTACTATTTCATTCGATAGCAGACTGAGTACTCCCTTATTAGAAGATATAATGGGTTTTAAATAAATGTGTCTCGGTAGATAGATATGGTACACACATAGCACCCACTAAGACTACTTAAATGGAGTATTCTTGCCTACTTTATTATTGGTCACCTGTTATTTATGTTATCGTGTAAATAATGGACTCAGTTTTAAAAAGTAGTGATAAACGAACCGGAACATCCTATATCTATTAAAACAATAAAGTCTCCTTTTCATCGAACTCGATTGACTAGAAGTCGCAGCATGTACCGGATAGATAGCTCAACAAGGCAGCATAAAAGTTCTTAATTTTGATGTATAACTGACTTGTTACATGGGTGAGCTCTTAAATTTATGAGGTGGCAAATAAAACTCACCATATTGGTATTAGAATCAGCGTTAATGGTTCTGTCTTTGCTCTGTTAGTGTAAATAGCTGAAGTAGATGAATGAATGGCCCGCCTTTCCCTGAGGGGAAATTAAATCGCTCCCTAAAACATCAGAGTACTCAAACTAACTGCACCTTCTTACGCACCCCCCTCACCTCCCCCNCCCCCCCCCCCCCCCCCCCCCCCCCCCCCCCCCCCCCCCACCTCCCATCCTCTTCTCACTTTAGGGAATTAAACGCAGATATCTCAAACGTGACCACTTTTAAGCAAGAATCCGGATTAAGGAATTATCTTTCAAATTGAGCCAATATTAATCCTCCAGCAATTTCTTTTCTTTCTTTAGAATAAATATCTATTACATAATATATATTTTTTATTATTAACTTCCACCACGCATTATCTATGTTTTTGTAAAATTTAAAATCGAACTAACTAGGCTAACTGTTTATTTCGCCGATAGATCTAGTAATTAAAGCTAAATGAACGCGTATCATCTACTGCATATAACAATTTAATATGGTTAATTCATAAACTCTAGTTAATAATCTAACAGAAAAGGGCCTAAACAATATTCAAGTATTGCTTTTGGGTTTTTAATCCTTTTAAGCAACTATCTTCAAGTTTAAATTAACTACTTTTGAGGTTGTTAATTTGTTTCTTAATCTTTCATTTTATGGTTAACAAAATCGTAAGTACTTAATAACAGCAATAAAATTAGGACACAATGTTCATGAAAATATCGGAATAAAATTTCAACTTTAATAAGAGCATTTTTCACGGTTAATTTGAGTATTTCAACAGATCTCCCCTCCTGATGTCCATTGTTCACATGTAATTTAAATTTTATGCTAGAATTCACTTCAATAAAAGAAGCCGATCACATTTTTTCACTTGTAGCGGACTCTACACAAAGAAACCTTTTGGCCTACATGCAAGTAAGACTAACATCTAGTAGAATAATACAGCAGAAATTGCTCTCAAATTGATCGGTGAGAAAACGAATTTTAATCGTTGATTGGCGTAGATGACTGTATGTATTCAAACAGTACTATGTGGGTTCTTCCTGGAGAGAGAGACGTTTGGTTAGCCTTGGTAGCATTATGCACTCCATCCAATTAACGATAAAGAATATTTCCAAATAAGTTGAATTTCCTTTCCAATTGATTTTTTCCAGCATAAAACACAACCGCTCTCTAATGAGAGTTGGGGTTTATCTGAACAGCACATGGCATTTGTCAATATCTATATTACTATGTATAATAGCGGAATCTGACCAATAATCTAGCTAGTTAGTGTGAAACTTTGCCGCTTTTCTTTCTCCTTTTTTCCATTATTTATTAAGTGTACATTAAAAGAAAACTCAATTTCAGCATATGGGATTATTTCTCTGTCACCTCCTTGGGTGTCTTGCTTGGACAACACTGCGGTAGATATTCAATCATCTCAACTCCAATTTTTGTTAATTCTTCCCCCCCCCCCCCCCCCCCCCCCCACCCACCCCCTGATAGAAATAGAAATCTCGGTCCGATAATTCAGGGAAGTAAATAATTTGTCACTCTCCTAATGAAGTACATAATCATTTAAATGCTCGGTTCTAGTGGTTCTATCAATCTAACTTCCCTTTACTAAGATCGTGGAAGTAGATTTCAATGGGCCAGCTTCTAGGAATATTATGATCAGACATCCCACCAATTACTCCTGCGATCAGTAAGTACTTAGTATCTGGAGATCGAAAATAATGAACTATTTCAATTCAATAAGCACGTCCAATATCTAGGCTAAATTTCAATAGAGTTTTTTCCCATTTTCCCATTCTTTTCCATCGTCTGGTCGATTGCCTTCTATCTCAGTTACAAAGCTCCACTAATCGAGCTGTGTATTAATAAAGTTATATCAAATAGCAGGCGTTTTGATAGCTATCATTAACCCTTTAACCGACTTCGGGCCTTACAGAGGGGAGGAGGAACATCAAAGTGAGAAAAAGTGGAGAGTGGGAACAGAAGAATGATTCACAGATGTAAAAGAGACAGACAGAACAGAAGAGCGTTTCACAGATGTAAAAGAGGCAGACAGGGAAACAGAAGAGCGATTCACGGATGTAAAAGAGGCAGACAGATGACAGAATAATGATTCACAGACGTAAAAGAGACAGACAGATATGACACAAAGTTATAAAAAAGGTAAGATGAGTACTGTGAAAGGGGGCGAATGGCAGACACAAAGGCGGAGAAAAGGTAAGATGAGTGCCATGAATGGTCGAATATGACAGTGTCGGGTCATGGTAGCTTGAGTCAGAGGTCAACTGCCGATTTATAGACCTTTTAGCTCTATG